GAGGTATAAGAATGAACATGTGGCATATCCAAGCATCTTATAGCTCTTACCTAAACTACAATATGTGTGGAGTCATATCTCCATTGCCTACATCCAACGCTAAAAATGTGATATTATTAGTGGTAGACAGGATGACTAAGTATGCACATTTTCTAACCCTGGCTTATCGATTCTCCGCCTCATCTATTGCAAGGTTGTTTTTGGATCGTATCTACACGCTACATGGTATGCCACAGAGTATTGTAATAAACAAAGATAAAATATTTACCAGCGAGCTTTGGTAAGAATGTTCAAGCATTTGGGGCTCAAACTACAGTTAAGTACAGTTTATCGTACCTAAACTAACGGGCAAACACAGAGGCCGAATTAGTGTTTGGAAATGTACCTTCAGTGCATGGTTTACAGGCAGCCTAAGAAATGGAGTAAATGTGTTAGCGTGCCTGAATGGCGGTATAATACCACTTTGCATACATCAATTAAAATGACCCTATTTGAGGTATTATATGGTTTTAAACCACCCCGGTTGGCTTTGGGTCCTTGCCTACAGAGTAACATCGCCGCAGTGGAAGAAATACTTCAAGAAAGACACTAAATCGATGAGCTACTGAAAGAGAATCTTGCTCAAGCTAGAGCTAGAATGAGATATTATGCAGATAAACACAGGAATGAAAAAGAAATTTAGGTGGGAGATTGGGTTTATTTAAAGTTACATTCGTACACTCAACAAACAGTGGCTAGAAGAGCTAACAACAAACTATCTGCAAGTATTGTGGACCACATCGAATAATTCAAAAAATTAGATCAATGGCTTACAAATTGGAACTACCTGCTATGACCCTAATTCATCCGATTTTTCACGTCTCATTACTCAAGAAGAAGATTGGGAGAAAGAAGTTCCTATTCGTGCACTTCCAAATCAAAACTAGGGCCATGGAGAGCATACTCAGCCCCTACGAGTGTTTTCTACACGATGGTTAGTCAAAAAAGGGTAGTTGTAACACAGTGACTAGCCCAATGGAAGGGCTCCAATCCAGACGAGACGAGTCGACTTGAGAGAATGCTGAGAACATGCATGCATCTTTTCCATTTTTTCAACCTTGGGGACGAGGTGTAGCTAAGGGAGAGGGATGTTATGAAAGAGAAAATCAACTGATATTGGGAGACAAAGGCAAGAAGAACACCAGGAAGAGGACAACCTAGCCACTGATTTTTTTAAATCAAATAACGACGTCATTTCAATTAAATGAAACAGTGTTGTTTTGAGTCGAATTTGCTGAATGTAATAGGACTACATTTTATTCATTGCATTTTTCTAAAACACATTTCTTTATTCTTTCAGTTATAACAGAATGGAGAGGAGGGAAAAAGGTCTGAATTGGATAATTGTGAAACCTTCCCTCTCTTAATTCTCTTCCTCTCTCGGTCTCATCTCTTTTCTATCTCTGTAATTTGGCCCTTGTTTGTGCCACATTATTAGAATGAAAATGCATTTTTGAATAGTGCATTGATAGGAAATGTGTGGTTAAGAAATAAGGAAAAAATTTGGATTTGCGTGTAATATTATTTTATTGAAAAATGTGTGGTTGAGATGATATCAAATCACTATTGAAAAATGTATTTTTTTGAAAAAATGTGGCTCAAACAAGGCCTTAATTTCGTTCTGAATTGAATTCTATATTTTCAATGTAAGTGTTGGTTGTTAAACAAATTCAATAGTTAGTTTGTAGGTTGCTGGAATTAGTGGATTCGAACTAGTACAGTTTTTCAAAGAAAGAAAAGATAGAACAAGTCCTTGGGCCCCTTTAGCTAACACGCTGAAATATACAAGGGCAACTTACAAAAATACCCTTAAAATTAGAGATGTTTTGAAAAATCATATGAAAAGTTTTTTAGAAGTAAAAAATAATGTGTAAAAATAAAAAGTGACACAATGTCACCTTTTTTGTAAAAAAAATTGTCACTTTTTTAAAATTTGAAAAAAAAAAGTGACACAAACACTCAAAAAGTGACAAAAGAAAAAAAATAAAAAAATTGACAAAAACTAAAGAAAAAAAAGTGACAAACACCAAAACAACATCATTCATTTGTGTAGTACCAGTAATCATGTTCATATCCATCATGTCCATAACAATTCATATGACAAATGACAAGAAAAAGTGACAAACACTAAAAAAGTGACATATATGATACAAATTGGAAAATGTGAAAAATATTCAAAAAAGTAACAAAAATTCAAAGAAAGTGACATACACTCACAAAAGTAACACAAATTTAAAAAAAAAAGAGAGAGAAAAAATAGAAAAAAGTGACTAAAAACATTTGAAAAAGTGACAAAATCAAATAAATTGACAATCACTAAAAGAGTATACAAATCCAAAAAAAAAAAAAATGGTGGCGAAAAATTAGAAATGTAACAAAAATTCAAAAAAAGTGTGAAGAATTTGGAAAGAGACAGAAATTTAAAAAAAATGACAAACGCTCGAAAAAGTGACAAAGTTCAAAGAAAGTAACGTACGCTAAAAAATTGGCACAAATTCGAAAAAAATAATGTCAAACGCTTAAAAAGTGACGGAAATTTTTTAAAAAAAGTGACAGAATTAAAAAAAAAAAAGAAAAAAGAAGTGAAAAAAATTTACAAAGTAACAAAAAATCGAACAGCCGTAGAAATTCAAAAGAAGTGACAAAAGTTCAAAATAAGGACAAACATTATCATTTTTAAGTGACATAATGTCACTTTTTAAAGTTATGTATGATATATAATGTCATTTTTATTAAAAGTGATGTTTATCACTAAAAAAGTGACAGAAATTCAAAAAAAGTGACAAGCATTCAAAAAGTGATAAAATTCAAAAGAAGTGATAGCCATCGTTTCTTCTCTTTCTCCGTTCATCGTCAAGTATTTATAAATCAATTTACTGACAAAACACCAATTAAAATATCAAGTATCTTTAAATCAATTCATAGTCACCGTTACCTTACAACTCAACTAATCCATTGACTTCCACTTAATGAAGATCCCAACATGAGAATAAGCCGAGTATTTTTTTTTTCAATCTCCGTTGATGCAAGAGGTCATCACCTACACCTGATTCAACCACTCCTTCACCACCACCAAAATGCGAGAATTTTCAAAAAAATATGATTGAAAATAAAAATAAAAAAGAAGAAGTGACAAATACCATTAAAAAGTGACACAAATTCAAAAAGGTGACAAAAACTAAAAAAATTGACGTAAATTAAAAAGTGAAAGAACATCAATTAAAATCTTAAAATAAATCATTTTATGCAAATTCAACCACTCCACCACCACCACACCATAACCCATAGTTCAACCCACACACCCAACCCTCAATCCAGATTCCTTCCCATTTTTTAAACAGTAGAAGCGATCTCACCGATTACAATCGTCGCACCGTCATCATCAAGCTCCTTCATCGACTACATGCCAAACTACCTACCAACTTCACCAACCCACTGCATTATAATAACATGACAATGATTAGTCATATAGTAGACATATTTCTTATAGTAAAAGAATTATAGTTTCAACATCAGCCACATACCTCGATGCCACCCAAGGTTTGACACAATGGACACCATTGAACTTTGTGATAAGAGCATTTTTATAGCAATAGAAGTGCTCTTAATGACTGAGGGAAACATCTTAAGAAGAACATTTGTGAAAGGTCCTGATCCTCTAAAATGTTGAGCAAATGGGGCCTCTTCCTCTTAAATGTTGGGGTGATAATGTCCTGTTCCACATCAAACGGTATGGGATCGAGGTTCATAGCTTTAATGACTTCTAAACCTCTCAACTGCCAAGAAAAAGCAATTAGGACTGTGAAAGTATTTGAATCTTTAATGACGGACAATTATTTCTTTGTGCTTTTAGCAACCATATTCAAACGTATGCTCAAAAAAAGTCAATGAAGAAGTGTCTATGATTAGTGATGATAAGCTAAAATAAAAAACATAGGTAACAAATGATAAATCTAAACCATTTCTTTTTTTTCTTTTGTAATCTTTTTAAGCTGTCCAAGTATGTATTCTCTCACTTGGGTATATTCGCAAAGCGCATTTTGTCAATAAATTGGGAGTTATTCAAATTTGTCGAATTAGTCAATAAACTTCATAAGGATGCTTCCAAAATTTATACAAAAGCCATATGAATCATATGATGTTTATTCAAATACATCATGTCTTTAAATGTAAATATAAATTGCAATTGAGAGATTTTGTCAAACACCTTGATGGTATCTTAGAAAGTCAAAGGGAAAAAGTGTGTCATTTAATTTTGGAGCTAATCCAAAATTTAATAACAATATTTTTTTATGCATTTATACACAAAAACATCACAATCTATGCCCAAACCTACTTCAAATATAAATGAACGAAAAAACTACTCAAAATCAAAGTTCAACCACAAAAACAAAGTTTATTCAATATTACCTTCAAAATCATGAGTGTAACTCTTCATGTTTGAACTTCCTTTTGCACTTCCAGATTTTCTCTTAAATGACTTTGATTCATGTTATTAATTTACCTACTTTGACCATAGATAAAATCGACCAAATATCAACAAAGATATACCAAATTCGAGCATTTACAGTGCAAGAAAAGGTTTTCACTCAAGATTCGCCCCAAAATCACCCAATTGTCCAAATGGGAAACTCTCGTTAAAACTACAAAGAAGCAGCAGCATTAAATTCGTAGGTGAAGTTTTCTCACTATAGGAAGATTGAAGTCGAAGTCAAAGTCAAAGTCAAAGTCAAAGTCGAAGTCGAAGTCAGGAGCGAAAATTTCTCGAAATTTTTTTGATTCAGAGTTTCTCCTTCTGATTTGGGATTTTCTCGTGGTTTTGAACGTAATTAATACGATAATACTAGTTTAAGTTAGTTTTAAGGTATTAATCAATTACATAATTTTTTTAGGGGCATTGCACCTAATTTTCCCAATATACAACACCAAAAAGGTATCTATTGGGCCATTGAATTTCTGTTAAGCCCATTAATATTACTCCACTCACTCAAATTACGGGGAAATAGTCGCTTAGAGAGTAGATTTTCGTAGGGTTCTTCAGCGTATAACATTCAGCTTCAAGCACGCCCGAAAATGACGAAATTCAGGAAGCTTAATCGACCTACAGGTCATCGGATGTCTATGCTAAGGTAAGAATATTTTTCTCCTTTTTTCTGTCTTTTTTTTTTGTTTTCTATTTCTTGGGATTTTTTTTTTTTAAAGTTTTGATTTTGTATTCACAGGACAATGGTATCACAGTTGGTGAAGCATGAGCGCATTGAAACCACTGTTGCTAAGGTAATTAATTTTCTTTTTTATTTTGCGTTTTCATATACCCTTTTTATTTTCAGGGGTTTACGCGAGTTTCAGTGTGATATTTTTACTAAAATATTTGCTGGCTTACACCAAACAGGAAATTATTTCATTTTTAGAACGATACCAAATTTTTGGAGTACATCCAGAAGAGATTTAATATTTTTTAAATTATCAGATGTGGGCATCTGAAAGAATTGGGGTGCTTCGGTGTTTATCAGGACTATTATATTTAATTCAAAATGTAATCTCAATTTACTTTGGTTTCTAATGATTTTTCTTAATCACGGCCACCAATTCCTCAAATAATTAAACGAGAAAAGGGAGAAAGAAAATTGTTTACTGCATAAATGATCATCTTTTGCAGATACTGAATTCAAGTTTCTTGATTTTTAATATTATCAAAAATATGTGTAAGTCAAGATTTTGGTTATGTTACTTCATTTTCACCATTTTTGTTTTTATTTTTTATAAGATTTTTTTTTTTTTTAGTGTGGGGGCGAGGTCGAGGGGGTGTAGGTACTGGGATGGTTGGGTGGACAACCTGCTAAAAAGCTCTTTGGCGTTAGTACTTTGGGCTTCCTTACGGATTGCAAGAATTGCTGTGTTTAACTTCTTTTCTTTTCCTTTATATATTATTGTATTTATAGGCAAAGGAAGTCCGAAGGCTTGCTGATAATATGGTACAGCTTGGGAAAGAGGTGTGAATTTCAATTTTCACTGATTTAAATGAGAATATTAATTCGGATTCTGCTGACAAGGGATAAATTTGAGCTAGTTCTAACTTTTTGATTTCTTTTCTTTCGTCATTAAGCTAATGTGAGTCGATAGTATGACATTACATTGTGTAAATAGGGTCATTCTTTAACGTTAGGAAGGGCAAATAGTATTATGTTCTTTATGTGGCAGAACTAATTTGCAAAGCCAACAAGACAAAAGTGCTGCTAAACCCTTCATGAGGTTCATTATTCGATTATCCCCATCGCTTAACTTTGTATAGTCCTGGTTATTGAATTCTGAGTTGTATTAGTTGGTTCTTATCTTTGTGTAAATTCATGTTTACTTTCTTTTATGACTTATTTTTTACAATATTTGGTGAAATATTTGTTATATTGTCCTTTCAAATCTGGCAGAAGATTAGGGCACTTTAGACAATCAGATTTGCTCTAGCTATCGTATACTTTTCCTAGCACTGCTTGAGTACAAGGTTCATCTATATTCCTCTGTTGAGATGCATTTCCTTGATGCTTTATTTGGATTAGGTTGTACTCTGCTGTAAATATTTATTACGTTGTTAACGAGCATAGGGATATTGAATTGGACGAGAAATCTTCAATGAGTGAGATGAAAATTCAACAATTAGCCCTTGTTTGAGCCCCATTCTTTTCATAAGAATGAATTTTCTTTTAGTGCATTGAGGGGGAAATGTTTGGTTAAAAAATAAGGAATAATTTTGGATTTGAGTGTAATATTATTTTATTGAAGAATGTGTGGTCAAAATGATGTCAAAATATTATTTATGAATGTATTTTTTTTTTTCCAAAAATGGGGCTCAAACAGTGGCTTAAAGAAAATATTATTCATAGACAGAAATGGCGCTGGGTGCTTGGAAAAAAAAAGAAAGACTTTATTGCGTCCAAATTTGAATCAATGTATGATGGACATTTGAATATACTAGTCAAAGTTGAACGTGCATTGCACGTTATTCTAAAATACTTTATAAGTGATGTAAAAGGAATATTTGGTATCAATTTATTGGACGATTTGATGAGTCTCGAACGAATTAAAGAGAATAAAATTTAAGAGAAGAAAATTGTACTCTTAAAATTCAATTTCTATGATTCAAATTTTTGTAATGATGAAATACTATAAATGAGCAATATTTTTATATTACATTTGATACCAAAAAAAAGAAAATAAATAATAAAAAAAATTATTTACACAAATTTAAACACCCATTAAAATTTCTAGATACATAAATATGAATGAATTCATTTATAATAATTCTATATTCATATAATTTAAAATTCATCGAGTGAAAATTCATTGAATTCAGATTATTGTGAATGTTAATAATTGAAAATTAATAACACGAATTTCATAAATAAAAATCGTTATATGATATTTATTACATATCGAAAGACGAAAAGTAAGGTGTTATTGAAATAATTGAATTGTAAGAAGGTTAAAATCGTCCAAAAAATGATTCTCCCTTGATGTGATACTTTAATATATTATAGATTATAGATATACGATTTCGATAAGGTAGTTGATCAATGTACATGAATAGAGTGCTACATACGACTATAACTTTGTTCTGCTTACTGAGCATGTTTCAAGAAAAAGTCTGATTATATTCTAACTCCATGATGATGAGTTGAAATAGTTTGATATAGTGAAATTGCAATCCATTTATTGCTTTTTAGCATAATGGAAAACCATTTGTTCTATGGTAACTCTGGAATTTTTTTTAATAGAATTAGATAACGATTCCGATCTTGTAAAGTTAGACTGAATTTTCATGATATATATACCAAGTATGTTGTTTTATTTTTTTAGTTTTTGACTCAAATATCAAATTACTATAGGGTTCTCTCTGCGCTGCAAGGCGTGCTGCTGCCTTTGTACGTGGTGATGATGTCCTCCACAAGTTATTCACGGAATTGGCGTATCGATACAAGTGCATCTCAAACCTGTAAACTTTTTACAGTGTTTGTTTTTTTCACTTCTCATTGTGATATAAGTTGGACATTTCTCATTTACAGAGAGAGAGCTGGTGGATACACGAGATTACTTCGAACCCGAATTCGAGTTGGTGATGCTGCACCAATGGCCTATATTGAGTATGTCTTTTGTTTTACCCTTTCTTTATCCTGTATGGACACTAGCTTGCCATCTGTTCTTATATTAATGATCGAACTTGCAGTTGAGTTTCATATTTCACGAATCATGGGAGAGGAAAATTCTTTATAGAAGAAAATATCTGTAGTATAGCAAATATTTGTGAGTACATTCTAACTATGTTTCCTATTTTGGTTGCTATGTTGTTTCACGTGGCAGATTTATAGATAGAGCAAATGAACTTAGACAATCTAAACCACCAACTCCGCAACCTTCTCAGAGGGCTCCTCTCGATCCCTGGACAAGATCTCGACTTACCAGACAATTAGCACCACCTAAAGAGGAGAAAATCTCCGAAGCTGATAATTAAAATACGATATTTTGAAATGTAAGACGAAGGTTTTGTTTTCATCTTTCTATTAGATATGTTGTTGCCTTTCATAATTCTATAAAGGCATTTGCGGTAAACGGATTACTGGGATGTATAGAAACTCCAAGCACATCCTCTCGGCTGGGCTGAGTCTGAAACATGCCGTTCGGGATGCAATTTCACACACCCTTGTTCAGGCTGTAGTTGGTGAGCACCAGCTTCTTGTTTCAAATATGATCGACTAACTTGATTCCCCTTTTATTGTAGCCTAGTGAATCAGAAATGTAGCACATGAAGAGAATGTGTAGGCTGATGATTGTGTTTAAAAGTGAGCAATGACATTGAAAGTTAACTATGACAAAAAGAAAATTAGATAATTGAATATGAGAATCACTAAACAAGAGAGTTGGTGAAGCCACGCCCACAATATCAATTGGAGGCCAAAGTACAATACACCGATTGCTTTGCTTTCAATATCAAGTACATAGGAGTCCAATGTCTATACTCTCTCAATCTTATCCTCCTTTCCTTTCCTAGTATTTATTTTATTGCAAGTCTGTTTTAATCTTATTTCCCAAGGTTGAATTGAATGTCCAACCAATAGGGGATCTATAATTTGTGTTGAAGGGAGGTGAAAGAAGTTTGTGAAGTTATTCGGACCCTGTTAAATTTTGGCAAAGAATGAAAAGAAAATTTCAAAGACGGGACCTAATTTTTTTTCAATCAACATTTTCATGGTACAATGTATTTTTTGACAAAAATGCCAATAAGGGACTGATTGGGAGTTTTGGAATATCGGGACTCTTCTAAAAGACACGGAAACGCCGAGCTAAATGGCTTGATGCTTTATTTATCGGTCAACAACAATCTGTTGATGGCTAATGCGTGCTAATTATCCTCTTTTTTTTTTTTTTCCATACAATTCTTTTAAGTTAAAATTTAAATGTTGATTTTTTCACTTCAACATTTTCATGGCACAATGTATTTTTTTGACAAAAATACCAATAAGGGACTGATTGGGAGTTTTGGAATATCGGCACTCTTCTAAAAGACCCGGAAACGCCGAGCTAAATGGCTTGATGCTTTATTTATCGGTCAACAACAATCTGTTGATGGCTAATGAGTGCTAAGTATCCTCTTTTTCTTTTATTTTTTCTTACAATTCTTTTAAGTTAAAATTTAAATGTTGATTTTTTCACTTCGTCGGTTCTAAATTTAAAAAAATTGTTTGAAGGCTTGAACAAAGGAAATCTCTTAAAAAGTTATATTTATTTATTGTTTAATATTTACATTTGGAATTTATCTTCTTGTTGAAAACTTTGGAAAAATATATAAATTTCCTATAAATTTGTTTTAGATATTTGGCATGTATTATTTTTAATTATTAAATGATTTTTGGTTGATTAAAAATAAAAAAATATTAAAATAAGAAAACGTCTTTTTACACTTTTTTACACATATGAACACTGAATACCGGTTATGGGATTTTCTAATGGTATTGATTTCGAACATTTATAAAGGATCAGATTTTGGTTGATTTTTATTAGAGGTTTTTAAACATTCTAATTCATGCTTAAGAGTTTATTAAATGATTTTAAAAGTTTTTTAAAAGAATAAAATTACATATATTGTCTATATATTTGAAAAAGTATGTAAATAATATGGAGTAAGTGTGTACATCATTTTGTGAATTTTCAATTTATAATTTTTTGTACGAAATTTTTCTTAGTCAATAAGTAATATTTTTCATTTAAGTTAATTTTTAACTTAAAAAGTGAAATATTTACTTGAACTTTTACCTTAAAAGTAATTATATGCGTATGAGCATTTTTTAACGTAATTGAACTTCTTGCTTATAATTTGTTATGGGTGAGTTTGTCATATTAGTTGTGTTATTACTTTATAAGCAATTTTTACATGAAAATGAACCGTGTCTTGTTTTTTATTTATAAGTGTCTTCTTCTTCTTCTTCTTCTTTTTTTTTTTTTTTTAATAAGTAAAATTTTAGTTATTGTACTATAATTGAATTTTTATCTTGTAAAATAATTGTTTTAGATAAAATAAAATTGGAAGAAAAATTGAAACAGCAAAATTCTGATTTAGTGAATTGAAAAATACAATTCAAAATACACTACGTTGATTTTGAGTGATTATTAAGCCATTCAAAATCCGTGCCCAAGCACCGCCTCTCATAAACAGTGTTTTTGGTAAACAGTGTCACCCGAAAACGATTAAAATCGGTGAAAAGAAAAATTCTCTGCAGATGAAGTTACCCTTTTTTTTTCTAAAATTTTCTTAAATCGGTGATAAAAATATTTATGCATTTGAATTAGTTTTATGTAGTAGTTGTGTACAAAATACATGGGGATGGAGTAACAGAGGAATTTTGGCGCTAGGTGCAAGGCTTCAATCATATAAGGATGTCCCACCGTCCGTATGTTCAGTTGGTATATTGCCAAGAGTGATGCTTTTAATTTGTCCATAAACTTTTGTTTCTTACTTTCTTTTGGAATTGCTTACTGGCCGGTCAAGACTTGAAAGCTTAAAACTTCATATTTGTAATTTTCATTACAGCTGTAATTAATCATAATTATTTAGCTTTAATAGGAATATCAATTCCGCCTCTCCTGCACACGTGTGAATTTTTTGTTACAGGTGGGGTCGGTGAATTGATTATTTCGCACTCAATTTTGTACGAAATTATACAGTGTCTAACGTGACTGATAGCATGTTTAGTAAGTTCAATTCGACAACAGTCATTACTGAGAAAGATAAAAGAAGCCCATCTTATACAATGGACCAAACGTGCCCACAAGATTTGACGAGCCTACATTACCAACTTTTATTGTAATGAAGACCCTTTAAAGAGATTCATTAGGATTTGACTCGATTATTGAGTACCCATTACTGCAACTAAATCATAATATGGACTACTTAACAAGAAAGAAATGAAAAGCACATCAGTTTAAGGAACCTTGATCTCTGTTAATGTTTTAAAATGGGGTTAATTTAGGTTAAACCATTTTGATTTAACAATGTTACCTTCCATTTCATGGGACTCTCTAATTGTTACCTAAAGAAGATGATTGCATTCCCTATCTGGTAAGTAAGATATTACATGCTAATCAACACAGACAGTAAATATATTAATTTGTAACCATATACATCATCAATTAAACTATTGTTTTCATTAACCTAATCCAGCTACTCTTTATTTTTAATATATGTATTATCAATAGAAATTAGAAATGATTCTAGTTCAACATCATGTCTCCTGTCAACAACAAATAAAGAACAAGATATTCTACTAAACGAAATCATACGCGTATTTAATAAACATGTTGTCGAAGATACGAATTTTCTAGGATATTATTAAGGATTTTCAACAAAAGAGAGTGAATAATTTTGTTATGTTATCTTTTTTCAGCATTAATAAACCTTGAACAAAAAATAAAATTGTAGATCAGAAATAAAGTGGACAATTATGCTAAAGACTATTTTATTCATGAAGCCAAAATGGCTGCATAAAGAAAATGTTTAAAGCAAGAAAGAAAAGATTCTTATCTTTATGGTGGTTCATCTGCAAATGATATGCAGATCATTTATTTTTTTGGTAATCATTTTTACGGATCAAAGCCTCAAATATGTGTAGAAATAATCCTTGGATATTATAGGAGGAAAATTCAAATATAAGTTACTCATTTCAATAAGGACCCTCCTTCCAAGCCTTTCTTTCTGCCTGCTATATATTCCACCATTCACAGAAAGCTTCAAAAACTACAGATCAATTCTCTCAATCTCATTCTCTCTCCTTCTCTGTATTTCTGTTAATCTCTGGTAGTCCTATGCTGCTTCAAAATTGACAAGGCATCTTCAAAGGTGAAATGTAATAGAGATACTGACAAATCTAAATCATCGTGAAACTATCTGTTTCCTGATATACCTTTTACATATAATCTACTTATAAGTTGCTAAGCATAGACAATCATGAAAATGTGCAGAATAGTAATTACAGTCACCCTTTCTGAAAAATTCTGATTACCTTCAAGTGGGCCCATTTTCTTACTGTTATCATCCATGTTTTGCTTTTCATTTTCTTTATCAGTGTCTCTCTCTTGGAAGTTTCGTTTTTCAGCATGCATATAGCCTTTTTGGACTTGGGGTTGAAACTGAAGTGATATGTTTTTGCATGCTATTTTGCAGATCAGAAGTTTCTTTAGTTTTCTATGAACAAAGTGTAATGAGAGTGATATATTGTTTCTGAAGACAAGCCCCATGGACAACAGACAAAGAATGTGAGTACAATATTTAAATGATTTTATGTCTTGTGCATTTCAATCCAGACTTAGTTTTTCATGCAGGGATTTTTTTTTTTTTTTTTTTTTGGACGAAGAGTTTTTTCCCCTTTTTCTTGTTTTTTTTCCCGACGACGACGACAATAAACTAAGCCTTGTTTTCAATAACTTTAGGATCGACTACATGAATCTTATTTTGTCAGAAGATAATTATTCAATGGTCACCGCTAATTGCTCTTGGTCCCAAATTTTTGGGGTTGATATAAAGGGGTGAGGGGGTGTGGGTGGGGGGTTCCACTATTCCAATTCCAATTTCTTATTTGTATTAACAGTTACTTTTTTTGGACGAAGAGTTTTTTCCCCTTCATCTTGATTGATTTCACGACGACGACGACAATAAACTAAGCCTTGTTTTCAATAACTTTAGGATCGACTACATGAATCTTATTTTGTCAGAAGATAATTATTCAATGGTCACCGCTAATTGCTCTTGGTCCCAAATTTTTGGGGTTGATATAAAGGGGTGAGGGGGTGTGGGTGGGGGGTTCCACTATTCCAATTCCAATTTCTTATTTGTATTAACAGTTACTCTAAGAGGAATGTTAAATTGAAATATTTCGTTTGAAAATTCCCCAAAAAGCTAATCGAATTGAATAGAGGAACTCCTAAACATTTGACAATTTCAGACGTGTCGATATCAATTGTGACTCATTATTTCGGGCAGAAGAAGACTAGTTAGATACAAAATTATCTATTTTTGAAACATGAATTATAGTAGATCTTTTAGCCCCTTATCACTGTGAGGAAAAATCGGACTATTTGGAGGAGCTGGAGTTGGTAAATCCCTTCGCCCCTCATTTTTCAAGAATCAGAAAAATCATTTTCAAGTTTAAATTTGATTCATCATGACCGAGTATAAAATACAATTATGACAGTAAATTTATGCACAGAATCCCATTGCTGCAAAATAGCTTTCCAGAATGATCCATAGGAAGTCCTCTTTGATGTCTGTTTCCATGTATGTTGTTTGTATTTTCAAATTCAATCTTATGGATACCTTATTCCCACTGATACATTTCCGTTTAAATACGGTAGGGAAGAAATCTGATAGAATCTGAAATGTTATGAAAATGGAGTTTTCATTTATATCTTTTTATCCAAACACTTACCATTTTAATGAATAGAGAAAAAATTAAGCCGAAAATTGACATTAGCAGAATAACCATTTCTCCTATGGATTCTTTTCAATAGAAGTTTTATCAATTATAGAATATATTTGAAGTTTTCTTTATATATATTGCTTGTTTCCCTCAATTTTTACACTAACATATATTTAAATGATTTTTTTTCCCTTCACAGAGACGATGCATACAAGAGAAAATTAAAGAGAAACAAAGTTAAAAGTGTAGAAAATCGTTTCCATTTTTTTTCTGCAGGCAAGAGCAGAAAATGCAAACTCAATCCCTTAAAGATTATCCTGGCTATCATTATACTTGTCTCCATTGTGACATTTCTTTTGTCTCCAACAATTTGTCACAAAAACAGTATATCCCACACTGTTTCCCGGTCAGTTCTGTTTTCATTTTTGTCTTCCGTTGTAAATTTAAATACGTTATTATCATCATTATGCATTCTTCAACTAGAAACGAGGGAAAAGTATGTGACTGATAATAAAAATGTTAACTGGAATATATGATTTCACGTGCATAAGTAATCTATGGCTATGTGCTAATCTTCAGCTTGGAGTAAATCTTCTCAACGAACAATTCACTTCTGAAGTATTTGAAACAAATATCTAGTTTTACTGTAGACTTTAGAAGTTGGGAACTAATGAAACAGAATAAAACAGAATAAAAGAAGTGCTTTAGAAACAAGAATAAGCTATTATTAATGGGTAGCTTATTTAATGCAGGCCACGTTTTGTGAACAGGTGGATGTGGGGAGGGTCAGATCCTCGGTACATATCAAATTTAGAGATGAATTGGGACGAAATATTGCGAGTTTTGAAGAAGTTACCTGAAAATAACAAGATTGGAGGAGTCGGTCTTCTTAATTTTAATGAGAATGAAATCAATCGATGGGAACAGTTTTTTCCCACTGCCAATCACTCAATTCTGCACCTGGACTATGCTGAGAAAAATGTGACTTGGGAGACCTTGTATCCTGAATGGATTGATGAAGAACAGGAAGAAGAAATTCCCAGTTGCCCTTCTCTACCAAAGCTAGAAGTGCCAAGACAACGACTTGATCTTATTGCTGTGAAACTTCCTTGCCGAAATGAAGGAAACTGGTCCAGGGATATAGCTCGGCTACACTTACAGATATCTGCTGCTACTTTAGCTGCCTCTTGCAAAGGCAATTACCCAGTGCATCTGCTTTTTGTTACAAAGTGCTTTCCAATACCAAATTTGTTTACTTGCAAGGACCTCGTTGCACATGAAGGTAACACGTGGTTATATAAGCCAAACATGAATTCCCTGAGAGAAAAGCTTCAACTCCCAATAGGATCATGTGAACTTGCACTTCCTCTTGGAGTCAAAGGTAAGTATAATGCAGTCTTTTCATCTCATTGCAGCTCTTTCCTGAAACCTATAGAATTCCATTATAAATGCACTCTCTCTAATTTCGAAATCAGAAACAAGTTCATTTCCTGCTATCTTGCTAAAGACAGACATCTCAGAAATTAGATGTAACATTATGCCCTTGTTTCAGCCCCATTTTCCCAAAAATTCATTTTTTCAAAACTCATTTTCAACCACACATTCTCTAATAAAATAATTTACACGTAAACCGAAAACTTTTTCTTACTTTTTAATTACATATTCTCCAAAAAATAATTATTCAAAAACACATTTTTTACCCAAAATGTGGCTCAAACAAGGGCTGTATGAAAGGGGAAAAGATAGAAGGCCAAAGGAACATTGTGTTATATTATGAAAATTAACACGAAAGTTCACTGCCATTTTTTAATCTCTCTCAGGATACCATACTTTATATATATAACGTAAAAAGGAAAACTACTTTGTTCTTAACAATAATTGACAAGAAACAACTTATTGTGTGAAGCAGAACAAGATTACAGAGCAAAAAAGCAACGCGAGGCTTACGCTACAATCCTGCATTCAGCTCATGTCTATGTTTGCGGAGCCATAGCTGCAGCACAGAGCATCCGCATGGCAGGGTCCACCAGGGATTTCGTAATTCTTGTTGACGAAACTATTAGCGAATACCACAGAAGTGGACTAGCATTGGCAGGCTGGAAAATCAGGACCATCCAGAGAATAAGAAATCCTAAAGCTGAGAAAGATGCTTACAACGAATGGAACTACAGCAAGTTCAGATTATGGCAGCTGACCGATTATGATAAGATCATTTTTATTGATGCTGATTTGCTTATCCTTAGAAATATTGACTTTTTGTTTGGGATGCCAGAGATCTCAGCAACAGGCAATAATGGCACCCTTTTCAACTCAGGAGTAATGGTGATTGAACCATCCAATTGCACGTTCCAGCTTTTGATGGATCATATAAATGAAATTGAATCTTATAATGGTGGAGACCAGGGATACTTGAATGAAATATTTACATGGTGGCATCGGATACCAAAGCATATGAACTTCCTGAAACATTTTTGGTTTGGTGATGATGATGTAGTAAAGCAGAAGAAAATTCGTCTTTTCGAGGAAGAACCACCAGTTCTTTATGTTCTTCACTATTTGGGTTATAAGCCATGGTTGTGCTTTAGGGACTATGATTGTAACTGGAATGTGGATATATTACAAGAGTTTGCAAGTGATGTTGCTCACAAGAGGTGGTGGAATGTACACGATTCAATGCCAGAGAAATTGCAAGAGTTTTGTCTGTTGAGATCAAAGCAGAAAGCACAATTGGAATGGGACAGAAAAGAAGCTGAGAAAGGAAATTACTCAGATCGGCATTGGGGAATCAGAATACAAGATAGGCGTATTAAGAAATGCATTGACCCGCCATACTGCAGCTGGAAGGGAATGTTAAAGCATTGGGGGGAGAACAATTGGACAGATGATGCATTCCCCATTTCCACACCACCAGCAAGAACTACAGCCTCTTTTAGTTTATGAGTAGCAGTTTCTACTTGTCTCAGTGGGTTGAAATTTTGCTCACAGTACAGTTTTAAAATGTCTTCCTATTAGCCTTCCATTGTTTTCTTGTCTTCGAATTACATTTTTCCAGGAAAGAGCGAGTACAAGGAGGCTTTAGACATTTATAGCCTTAACATATCAGATTTTATTTTTATTTTTAATTTCCTGTATCGTCATATTTACAGGAAAAAATATCCTTTGAATTTTCTCTGTTACTTGTTAACTTATTTTATTTCAGCTCACTGAATTTCTCCAATTTAGGGATTCGTTGAATATATCACAAGTTTGCTTGAACTTCTAGAAAAGGATTCTATTTGAGAACCTATTCAGAGAGGTGTTGTTATGGTTCCTATTGGGGTGTATGAACACTTGAATCCCACATCGAAAGTATGGGTTAACTTTGTATGATTTATATAGGCTTGGATTTTTTAACCTCAATGGCTAGCTTTTGGGGTCTAACTCTTCTAAATTCTATGACAATGGTATCAGAGCAGGCATCACGTCTTCTGGTTTCGGTTACCACTTAGGATGTATGGGCACATGCTCGACGTGGATGTCGAGTCAAAAGCATGTTGGTTTGTCATGGTTTCCATTGGGGGTGTATGGACACCTGAATCCCACATCAGAAGTATGGGCTTCTTTTGAGTGGTTTATATAAGCTTGGATTATCCAACTTCAATAGCTAGCTTTTGGGGTTTGACTCTTCCAAGTTCTATGACAGGTATCAGCATGATTGTCTTGACCACGATAAATTACGACTGAGATAAATAACCAGAACCAGCTAGGTATTTTCTTTTCAAACACTACACTTGATGAAAATTAAGAATCCTCCTTTAGCTCTCAAGGATAATAGAATGAAGCAGGCTTCTTTGCAAGCAAATTCAGTCACCAGGTTCAATGTAAATCCACTTGTTTTCTGATGATGGGAAAAGTAACAAACCATATGAAAGCCAAAAAATGATCTTGAGTTACCTTCTAATTTGCAAAAGTTGCATGGTTGTGGTCCTGTGCTGCGACTATTACCCACCATTATAAAGAATGCAAATTAAGGCTTAATAAACCTGTAAGATATTTATATCATTTAAGAGATGCAGAAAACAGAAAAGAAATTAGGAGTGGCCAGAATTGAGGGGCATCAGACAGAAAAAAGGACACCAAAATTCGATTAATTTGTCTTACATATATCATCAAAAAATACTAGAAACTTTATTGTGAATTATCTAAAGAAAGAATACCACCAAAGTGTCAAAATGAAATTATTTGTAATTACCTCTATTCAAGACAGATTCTCGCTGGTGTGGGTGCTTGAGTAGGATAACCTGCTTCAATGATCACCAGAGTTCACAAACAAGAGATGGACGACTGAATGCCCTAACTATTTCGCCTCTAACCTCCATGCAATGAAAGAAAACTATAAAACAGAGTGCAAAGTTATTCATTGATGCAGAGATCTATGATTCTTTGTCTTTACAAATAGAAAGACCCGGTGTAAACTGATGTCTGATTTATTTGAAGAGATGTAGTACCTCCACATGGCTAAGGCCTAAGAGAATCTTCTTTTCTGGAGCAAAATACGTACATAACTATATTTTCCTGTCAGTCATTGGAACAGGTTGAGGAGAATGTACAATTGTGGACCTGGAATCCTTGCCATAAAGAAGCCGAAATGCATAAAAATACTAGAAGTGGCCCATGGCTGCTTGAGTTGCATCGATGTATCAAAACAATATGGCGGCAAAAGGTTCATGCAGTAGATCGCAATTTATTCTATATCAGTCTAGTTTGTTGTATTCTATTTTGCAATTCGGTGCCTTATATTAGGCTAGACTGGAAGAAAAGAAAATCCTTCTTCATTATAAACCCACCCATTTCTTAAAAGTCAATGCTGACTCTCTCTTTTTCAACTGAGATTCTGTCTGGAATTTTGGTGCCTTGCCTTTGTAAAGTGTTTTATGGTACTTCAAAAAGAGCATGCGGTACTTGTATTTGTCGATGAACATCTTCCCTTTCTCCATTAACCCCACAACTTCATTTGCTCGAGCAAAGAAGCCACCTCTCACGAATGTATAAAGCACAGCATCCAATAATTCCTGATCAAACTTCATTCCACTGGTAAAGGCAATAGCCTTCATCTCACCCCACAATTCAGTCACCTCAATGTATTTACCCCCAATGGCAGCATACCCCGTGATCATAGAATGGAAAGTTTGTGCATTTGGAGCATGCCCCAAACTCCTCATCTTCTTGAGAGCCTTCTCAGCATCTTGCATCAGCCTCTTCTTGCAGAAAAAGTGAATCACATTATTCCAGTCACGAACTCCAGAATCCACGTTTTGCCCTTCTTGTATTTCCTGCAGCAACTTAGCCATTAAATAAGCTTCATCACCTTTCGTACAACCATTCACCAGCATATCAAATTCTTGATGACCACCCCTGGGGATTTTAGCCTCTTTCATCTCTTTGAACAGATTGAGAGCCCCTTGTGTATCCTTTTCAAGAACCCGGAATTGAATCAATGCCTCGTAACAGCTTGCATCAAGCTGAATGCCTGCCTTACGAGCATCTCTGAGTAATGATGTAACCTCTCCTGCTTTATTCTCTTTACAATATGCTTTTAGAAGAGAAGCATACATGGAGGAACTAGTTCTAACTCCAGCCAAATGCATTTCATCTAGAAGGTCGTGTGCCTGATCTAACCTACCAAGCGAAATGCATGTGTTGATGACATCCATCAAGGCTGAACTATCAGAAGAAACTGGGGAATCCTTTTTCTCTACCTTGATTAGAAATTCTGCCAAATCTCTTATCCGACCAGCTTCCAAGAAAGCCTTTATTAATTTCACGTATGCACTCTCCGTTGGCTGGAGAACACCTCGTTCAGTTGTAATCAACTCAACTTGCCTAAGCAACTTCATAATCAACATATCCAGTAATTCTTTGGCCTCATTTTCAAGTCTTGAGAACTTCCTGTCCCTATAGAAAGTTTCATAAGATAAAAAATGCCTTGGAAATAATGGAGGATTTTCCAATCCATCGAAATTAATATGATTCAACTCCTCTCCAGAAACATGTTGATGAGGTGAGGTGCGGACTTTCTTATCAGTTTCAAATGATAAATTAGCTAAACTCCGTGAATTTTGAGCTTTCTTTGCTTTCTCGAGCATTTCCAGAACCATGTGTGATGCAGAGTCTAGATCCATAAATTTCAAATGACAAGAAAACAAACAATTGTAGAACTGTCGAAACTGAAGATCACTTAAATTCTGAACTTCATCGATGTGTCTCTTGAGCTTTTTAAGCTCCTCCCTTCGTCCATTTCGTTCATAAATATGGGCCATGATAATCAATAATGTTGTGTCAGTTTTCACATTAATCCTAGGCATCATGTCAAGGACCTGCTCTGCTTTCCTGGTAGTACCAAACAGAAGGCATCCAGCCAAAGCAATGTTACATGCAGTTGTGTTAGGCTTCATAGCAATCAAAGGTTCATTACTCTTTTTCCGAGGATCAATTCTTCCATCCTGGAACAAGTAACCTATCTCAAGAACCAACTCAGCCGCGAGGTAAGCTCCTGATGAATTTTCAGTCATATGAGCTAAAATTGCTGACCATGCAGTCACGGGCGGGAACTGTTCCATCTCAATAAGCTTTCTTAAAAGAGTAGATGCAGGAATTGGCAATCCACACTTAGCAAGTCCTAGAGAAAGATACAACAGAGTCTCTTTGTCAAATAAGTTCTGCTTATGCTCCTCAAGGGCTTTCTCAACCAACCCATATCCTTTTTCAATCCATTGGCAATCCAAACTCCAAGTTAAAGCAGTTAAAAACTTGTTCACAATATATTTCCTAGGAAAGCCTTCCATTTGCATATGCTGCTCATGCAAATTCCACGCATCATCAAGCCTGTGCTCATCAATTGCAGTTTCTAACTCCTCACACAGTTTACCGGTGTCTCGAGCCTGCACCAAAATCGTGCGAGCCATAGTCGAAAAACAGTGTTTAGAACATTTAAATTCATGCTGAAACTTTGAGACACTGCTTTGGCAGTTAACTTGAGTGAAAGGCTTAAGGCTCCAGGCAGTGTCATGAGGACATTTTGAAATTTTATCAATAAAGCTAAACAAAATACAAGACGAATGACTTGTGGTCCGATGACTAAGTTTCTTGATAAATGCCATTTGGTCCTGTATTATAATACTGAAGTAGGCAATGCCTGCACCATGAAGAATGTCATTCATAAATACTATGAATTACCTGTAACAGAACATAAAAAGACAGAAAATGGAGTGAACAAAATTAAATATTTCTAGTGAGGCATTTCATCAAACAGTATGAAGAATCGATAGCAAAAGGTCAAAGCTTGGTAAATGTAAGATAAGTATGCTTTTCCATGTAACTGATTGATGAAGTTAATTGAATAAAATTTATTCGCGAATTAATGACTACTGGCTTCCAAAAAGGAAAAGAATTGAAGAACTAATTTGGTTTTGGAGATTAATTTCACGGCTACGCACCTGCAGAATGAGGATTTTTGGCTTCTTTTGTGGATGACAAGGTACTTGGTACGTAATTTCAAGAAGAATTGATGAGTCCCAAATTGAAATTACAATTGATGGAGCCCTAGAAACAGCTTATTCAGGTCAAATTTGGTTACCCATTTTTTCCCCCTTAATTGCTTTGAGCATGTTTGATGAATTTAAATTATAATTTTTTAGTTACAATATTTTTAGTGATTGTTTCAAAGAACTTAGAAGATTGCTAAAAAAAAAATTGAGGTCATGATCGATAATGTTAAACAAATTATCCATTTTTCACAAGAATGTCTTCTCAAAAAGGGCCAGATGGTTTTTTTTTTTTTTTTTTTTTTTTTTTTTTATTAAAATAATTTTTTTATAACAAAAAATATAATGTTAAACAAATTATCCATTTTTCACAAGAATGTCTTCTCAAAAAGGGCCAGATGGTTTTTTTTTTTTTTTTTTTTTTTTTTTATAATTAAAATCAATTGTTAAGCTCGCACGAATAAGCACTAATCCAAGAGTGTGTTTGATTATCAATATCTTTTTCTTTTTTTTTAATGTATAATGGGTTTTTCCACCCCAAATGTTTATTTTTGAACTGTTTGATTGTCATTTTTTTCATGAAAAATATTTTCTTACTTTTGATCACGTAATCATATTTTTCTCAAAATCAAGAAAAATATTTTCTTAGGGAGAGTATGATTTTATTTTTAAGGAATTTACTCTCCCTTCCTTTCTCTCATATATCCACTCTTTTTAATCCACCCACCAATAAAAAAAGAGAAATATAATATTTTTTATATTGAAAATTAAATCAATCAAATACATTTAATTGACAATTTTCATATAAATAAATTATAGACAATAGAATTACTTAAAATTTATTTTCTTTCTATACAAATTTCATGCTTGCAATTAAACATATACTAAGTTTATATATATTTTTTTGTTTTTTTCCCAAAAAGAATTATTTAAGTCCCTTTTTTTTCTTTTTCTTTTTCAAAATTAACTTTTAAACCCGACAATATATACACGTGATTGAAAATGAAAGTTAAAAGGTCGTATTACAATTTACAACAAAAAAATTACATTTAGCCCATGTGTAATTGAGCTTTTTTAGAAAATCACTTATTTTTTATTTGTTTGGGGATTCTAATTTTTATCAACTTTTCTGATAGCTTGACGTATGTGTCTGACAAAATATCGATGAAATACCAAATTTGTTCTGTTTTGAATCTTTCTGGGAAATCATGATGAAGGCAAATTCATGTTCTCATTATGATTAAGGATAACAATGAGCAATTTAGGGGTAGGCTAATTGGCAAATATTTTATTGACAATTTAAAAGGGGAGTTGGTTAAAATGCCTACTCAAAAAATGTATTTGGTAAATTATTCTCTCTTAATGTTTTTTTGGTCAAATGACCTCCAATTATGAAATACAATAAACAAATAATGTCAAATGTCATAAATATTTTCACCATGGGAAAAGACTCCAACACTCATATCAATCCAATTGATTCTCAAATTCAAGTTTAGATTTTCAAATCACAATTACGTGTTTCTCATCTTCAACTACCATATTGGTTACTCTAAAATTCTCTTATGTATTATATTCTTCGCCTATTTTGAGTATGTTTTGAGTATTTGAACAAGATTTTGATAAGTATACTATCTACATTGAAAAATTTCATTACATTTGAAGAGAGAAGAAAGACACTTTTAGAAATTTCATGTATAATGTACATTTTTATTGAATAATATTTTAGTTGGTGTTATTTTTTGTGTTGTCTGCAGCTATGGGATGATAATGGGGCTCCAACTGTTATCTGATAGGTAAAATGGCACTCCAGCCGTTTTCTGCTATGGAAAACGATACTATGGCCATTATCTACTGTAATTTGATTTTTCAATGGAAACATCTCTAATAATGGACTATCTAATGTATTTAACATATAAATATTGATCATGTCACAAAAAAGGATTGAAACGATATGTCTGATATGTTATCGATTTGGTGAAAGTACAAGTACAATATACACATCATAATTTAAGTTACAGGATCCAATGTTTGAGGTTGTTGCGTTAGAAAATAAGCAAAATATTGAAAAATTCAATAGAACAGCACAAGTGTCGTTACTGATAATGAAACGACACTTGTGTCGTTTTGTCTATAAACGCGAGTATAAATAACCACAGCTCGTCCATGCCCTCGATAATTGATAAGTTAAACTTATTTAAGTTGCAAGATAGACATGTCTCTTACAAAATTTGAAAGATATATTGCATATTTATTACTTTGAGTTGGTGAAATTGCTAGTCATTGTAATGGTTCCTTAGAAAATATAATAAATTAGCACATCTCTCAACTTTTGTAAACGACATATCCATCTTACAACTAAAATGAGTTCAACTTATTGGTTCTCAAGGCATAAATGTGTCATGACTGTATATACTAATGTTTATAGATAGAACAACATAAGTGTCATTTAACAGCCTTTGTGACATTCTGTTGATTTCTCTAATAATTTGCTTATTTTCGAACGTAATAATCTCAAACACTGGATCCCCTAACTTAAGAAAGATAGAAAGGTTGACCACGTTACAAGAATGGTTGATTTGATATAAACTATACAATATCGAGTTCGTGAAATCTTAAGTCATTGTATTAATTCGTTAGAAAATATAATTAAGAAGTACATCTCACAACTTCTGTAAATGGAACGTCCATCTTTCAACTTAAATGAGTTCAATTTACTGTTTCTCAATGCATGGACGAGTTATAGCTGCGTATACTTGTATTTATAGACAAAGCGACACAAGTGTTGTTTGACGGCTCTTGTGTCGTTTTGTTGATTTTTCAAATATTTTGCTTATTTTTCAATGTAACAATCTCAAACCTTGGATCCTCTAACTTAAAAAAGTCAAAAATGTTGATCATGTGACAAAAAACTATCCAATTGACATATGTTATATGATATCGAGTTGGTGAAATCACAAGTCATTGTATTGATTCGTTAGAAAATATAACTAATGAGCAAATCTCACAACTTTTATAAACGGAACACCTATCTTTTAACTTAAATGAGTTCAATATATTAGTTCTCGAGGCATGAATGAGTCGTGGCAGTGTATATTTGTGTTTATAGATAGAACAACATAAGTGTCATTTAACAGCTCTTGTGCCGTTCTGTTGATTTATCAAATATTTTGCTTATTTTCTAACGTAACTTTGGATCCCTTAGCTTAAGAAAGTTAGAAAGGTTTATGACGTAACAAAAAATGATCGAATTGATATAAGTTATACGATATCGAGTTGGTAAAATCATAAGTCATTATATTAATTCGATAGAAAATATAATTAATGAGCACATCTCTTAACTTTTGCAAACGACATGCCTATCTTTCAACTGAAATTAGTTTAACTCATTGGTTCTTGGGGGTATGGACGGGTCGTGGCTTCACATACTCATGTTTATAACGGCACTTGTGCCATTCTGATGATTTTTCAGATATTTTATATCTTTTTCCATCACAACGACCTCAAGCATTGAACCTCCTAACTTAAGGAAATCAGAAATGTTGATCATGTGACAAATAACAGTAGAATTCTCATAGATTATAGGACATAGATTGAAGAAATCACAAGTCGTTATTTATATTCGCTAGAAAATATAATTAATGAACACATCTCTCAAACTTTGTACACGACGTGTCCATCTTCCAACTTAAATGGGTTCAAATCATCGATTATCGGGGATCGAACGGATTGTGGTGGCTCATACTAGTGTGTAAAGATATAACAACATCAGTGACGTTTAATGACACTTGTGCCATTTCTATTATTTTTCCGATATTTTGCATCTTTTCCACTACAACGACATTAAGTATTGGACCCCCTAACTTAAGAATGTCAGAAATGTTGACCATGTGACAAATAATGGTAGAATTCGCATAGATTATACACTATAGAGTTGGAGAAATCACAAGTCTTTATCTACATTCGTTATAAAATATAATTAATGAGCAAATCTCTCAAACTTTGTACGCGGCATGTCCATCTTGCAACTGAAATGAGTTCAGATCATCAATTATCGAGGATAGGATAGGTCGTGGTGGCTCGTATTAGTATTTAAAGACAAAACGACTGTGCTATTCCGGTGATTTTTTCGATATTTTACATCTTTTCAACTACGACGAATTTAAGTATTGAACTCCCTAACTTAAGAAAGTTAGAAATGTTGACCATGTGACAAATAACGATAGAATTCGCATATATTACGCGATATAGCGTTGGAGAAATCACAATCGTTATCTACATTCGTTAGAAAATATAATTAATGAGCACATCTCTCAAACTTTGTACACGACGTGTCCATCTTGCAACTGAAATGAGTTTAAATCATCGATTATTGAGGATAGGACGGGTCGTGGTGGCTCATATTAGTGTTTAAAGACAGAACGACACAAGTGACGTTTAACGACACTTGTGACGTTTCGATGATTTTTCCAATATTTTGCATCTTTTCCACTACAATGACATCAAGCATTGGACCCCATAACTTAAGAAAGTCAGAAATGTTGACCATGTGACAAATAATGGTAAAATTCACATAGACTATACGATATAGAGTTGGAAAAAACACAAGTCGTTATTACATTCATTAGAAAATATAATTAATGAGCACATCTCTAAAAAATTGTACACGATGTTTCAATCTTGCAACTTAAATTAGTTCAAATCATCGATTATCGGACGGGTCGTGGCGACTCAAACTAGTGTTTAAAGATAGAATGACATAAGCAATGTTTAACGACATTTGTGCCGTTTCGATGAATGGGTCATGACTTCACATACTCATGTTTATAAACAGAACGATACAAGTGTCATTTTCTTTACAGTAATGGCACTTGCCGTGCTCATGAACAAATTATATTTCGATAATGGCACTTGTGTCATTTATTTAGAACTTTTCACTCAGTAACGGCACAAGTGTCGTTTTCAATAACACTTTCATCCTCTAAACGATACTTGTACTGTTCTTTTAGAACTTTTTATCTCAGTAAAGACACAAATGTTGTTTTCAATGGCGTTTCGTCCTCAAGCACTGGATCTCTAAAGTACACAAGAAAAGTAGATCATGTGACAAAAAATGATTGAAATGACATAGATTATTTGATATAAAGCTGATGAAGGCATGAATAATTCTATTATTTTCAACAAAATACGAGTAACGAACATATTTCTCAATTTTTTAAAATATTATATCC